AACTGCCCCTTTTAGAGACATTTGATGGAAACTCCTCTCATAATAAATGCTGTGGCAGAAAATTGGAATTCCTTAGGCATAGTTCCTGGATCAGGGTCTACCAGATCCCAATTCATTTTCTCCTCCAAAATTTTTCTTCTTCTGTGTTAGTAAGACTATTACAATAAATAGTCAAAATGAATAGTCTTACATGAGGATATTATAATAATAAGCATGTTATAAACCACAACAAACATGAGGAAGTCTCAGGTTTGTAAGGTTTTTGTCAAAAAGCAAAAAAGACAAGCACTTATCACAACTGAAATTTGTGTTCAATGACATGAATGAATAAGATATGTGCCCTGATGGATGGAAATAAGTTTGTACTTCACTTCTTCTTGTCTTTACACCAAGAGTGCAAGAACCAAGAAATATTTGATGGTTTATTCATATCTAGGAAAACGAGCCTTCCTTTCACTGAGGGAGTAGGGCAGAAGAGTGTCTTCCTATCATTTTAGTCTTCTGAATGGTAGATCAAAGGTTGTCTTTATTAGCAGCAAGGGACTTGAGACTTTGAGTATTGTTCTTGGTAGGTTTCAAATAATATCCAATTCGGTGCTTGCTATGTGGATGGATCTTGTAAGTGAAGTTAGGAGAAAGTCATATATAGGATAATCTATCTCATATAAAGAAATAATGTCAAGGATACAAATACCCAAGACCAACAGAAAATGAGAACTGGACTTCAGTTCAAAAACATATGAAGTTGAGGAAGGGAGGAAGAAGAGTGCGAGGTTGGGACACTGGGACAATGATGGAAGAAACTGAAACCACAGTACATTTTGGTTCTGGAATGTTTCATCCATAAAACCCGACAGTAACATTATCAAATAATAAAAACATTTAAAAATAATTTTAAATGTTAAACAATTTCCCTTATTTTTTACAAAATATCTTCAACATTTGAAATTGTATAATACAGGCTATACAAAAAATTCCAAATCATTATATTCCCCCCTAAGATCTGTAGAAGTGTTACTGGCATCTTTCTCTCCCTTCTCTTTAAGTAGGTGCCATTCCATTATACAACTGAATCTGTAGATTTGGTAAAGGAAAAGTAACTGACTCAGACCTAGATATTCAGAACAGCACTATGCCAATTGTATGCATGGAATCATGTAGCTTTCACCCAAACCCTAAGTGTTTCCATTTTCTTTATACTATATAGAAATGATAGTATTTACTTAGCATTTTCAGTCTTTTTACATTAGTTTAGAATGGTTTCAATTATTTAGATATGAAGTTCAAGCCTTAATTTTATCCCTTTACATAGTACACTTACTCGCCACACCCACATGCTGGATTTCAGTGTCAATCCATCACCAAAAAAGACCCTCTACTCAGCCCTCCTGTCAGCCTCTGAGTCACCAGTTTTATTCTGTTAAGTCCATTTTTTTCTTAAGAAGACCCAGAGAGAGGTTTGATCTTTAATAGCACTAAACCAGCAGCTCTTCTTCACCTTGATTTGCCAGCTATTCCCAAACTGAAGTTCAAGTGAGCATTTGCACTTATCTAGCAAGTCACTCCAGTAAAAGGTACCTTATCAATAACCAAGCTCCATGGAATTCAGTGATACTACACAGTAGGCATTTTCTTTGCATGTGGCCAGCCAAGTTTCCAACCCCAGCATCCCATATGGTTCCCCACACATGTCCAGGAGTAATTTATGTATATATAGCCAGAAGTAACCCCTGAAAAATCACCAGGTATGCCACAAAAAAAGAACTAGGCACTCAGTAGTGAAGAATCCTGGCGGGCACCACAACACCGGAGAATTCTCCGGGCCCCAAACTGAGCCAATATCACCAGGATGCCCCAGATGGAGCAGGTGCAGTCTTCCCACCTTTTCCAGATGGAATTCTGGTGACCATGAGCTTCTACAAGCATGACTCCAGTATGCGGGTCCCAGGACTATTCCTCCAAACCATGCAGTGGCTGCTTACACAGCCACACAAACTCCTGATATATAAAGTGTGCAATGGAAAATAGATGATCTAGCGTCTTCCCCTAGAAGATAGGCTTGAATAGTGGTGGGAATATCCAAGCAAAATGTAATGCCCAAAACTACAGAGAAAGTAACTGAGCAATTGTTTCCTGTAGAGGCAGGGTAAGGACTGAGATGGTAATGGAGGGGATAATAGGGATATTGGTGGTGGAAACTTTGCACTGGTGGAGGGATGGGTGATCTATCATTTCATAGCTGAATATCAAACATAAAAGCTATGTAATTGTATCTAACGGTGTTTCATGCTTCTGTACTGTGAATTAAGTTATGGCCCTGTGCCATCCCAGGGGATGGGGGAGAAGGACGTTGTCCTTCTGCCTTCTTCCCCTCTGCAGCATAGTGATGGCCATCTTTCAGAGCCTACTAGACTGAGAGGTATGAGCCTTCAGTGATGAGACACATGGGGCCTCATGGATGGGGCCTGGAAACAGCCCTTCTCCCTGTGAGACCCTGAGTTGCCGCCCATGAATGGCTCCTTCGGATTCTGAATGGCCATGGTTCCAGAGGCACACAAACCAATCTGGGAACCCAGCAGCTTCTGACAGAAATCCCTCTGGACTTAATTATTAAAATATCAGAAATCCAAAATTGGATGGCCACTATTGCGGCCACGCAACATCATATGCTCTTCATTATCCGCAATAGAAAACAAATTATCTAATGATGCCTTCTCGGCAGGTCTGAGTGTTGGGAGAAAATTTCCAAATAATAATGATAAGTATCTGTCGAAAAATTAAATGTAACCAAAGTAGAGAGAGTAAAGTGGAAATCATCTGCCACACTGGCAAGGGGAGGGGTAGGATGGGGAATATGCTGGGGTTCTTGGTGGTGGAAAATGTGCACTGGTGAAGAGATGGGTGTCTGATGATTGTATGACCGAGACTTAAGCATGAAAGCTTTGAAACTTCTCACAGTGATTCAATAAAAAAATAAATAAAAATCAATATCCTACCCCATTCTTCAAAAATTCTCTATAGAATTGAATTCGAAAAAACTACAAATAGTATCTCTTTTCTATACTTGCATAAATAACAGATTAAATAAATAATGAATTCTCTCATCAGCCCCATTGCCTCCTCTCTCCATTGCATGAATGTCTTTTTCCATACTAAAATATTAAAATTTCATTGAGTTTTTATTTATTATGAAAAACAATATCCTTTATTTTTAGCATGTACCTACTAGATTTGCTGCAGGTTGACTTTAGGTTGACCTTGCGACCACTCACTACAGCGGTAGGGCGTTTGCCTTGCACGCAGCCAACATGGCCAACCCGAGTTTGATTCCTCCGCCCCTCTCGGAGAGCCCGGCAAGCTACCGAGAGTATCTTGCCTGCACGGCAGAGCCTGGCAAGCTCCCCGTGACGTATTCCATATGCCAAACACAGTAACAACAAAGTCTCCAATGGAGACGTTACTGGGCCCGCTCGAGCAAATCGATGATCGATGGGAGGGCCTTTACCTTTTACCTTTACCTTACCTACTAGATTATCTTGTCCTTTAAGCTCACAGAAGATAGAGCTAGTCATTTTGCATGCTTAATGAATATTCTCACACACGAAAACTTTCCAAATAAGGTTAGGTAAAGATACTTCTTTACTTATTTGTTTTTTAATTTTTTTCCTTTTGTTTCTTTTTCATATTTTTCATTTTTATTTATTTTTAGAGCATTACAAAGTCAATCATATTTACATTTCTGTCATACAGTATTACAACATCTATCACTTCACCAGTATAATTTTCTCACCACCAATGGTCCCAGTTTTCTTCCCACCCCCTTCCTCCATTATTCCATCCATTATTCTCTCTCTCTCTCTCTCTCTGTCTCTCTATTTACTTTTGGGCATTGTAGTTTGCAATATTGAAGCTGAAAGGTTATCAAGAATATCCCTTACCTACTTTTAACCATCCAATCTTGTCAATCTTGTCCAGCATGATAATTCCCACCTATAACTTCATACTGTATCTTACCTACCCTCATCTTCACACACACTTGTGGTTAGTTATAACCATCAATTACTCATTTCTTATCTATATCCTAAAGACCCACTGTGACCTGAAAAACGTTAGGCATTGGGACACACTAATCACTGTATCACTGTATCACTGTCCTCCCGTTGTTCATCGATTTGCTCGAGCGGGCCCAGTAACGTCTCCATTGGAGACTTTGCTGTTACTGTGTTTGACATGTTGAATACATCACGGGTAGCTTGCCAGGCTCTGCCATGTGGGCGAGATACTCTCGGTAGCTTGCTGGGCTCTCCAAGAGGGGCGGAGGAATCAAACTCGGGTCGGCCATGTTGGCTGTGTGCAAGGCAAATGCCCTATCGCTGTGCTATTGCTCCAGTCCAGGGACACACTAATGAACATGAATAAAAGCTCGCTGTTTTCAGAGAGCTGACATGTGCACCTTAACAGACCTTTTTCAGTTTCATATTCCTTCATATACTGGGGTCCTGTTATCTGTGAATGTGAATTTTCAGTCACTGAGATGTCACATAACTCTTGCCTCCGAAGAACGGAAAGTCCAGAGCAGAATAAGGTGGCTCAGAATTCCAGTGCTGCCCTTATAACCTGCCCAGAAAACTCCCCTCCAGATACTGTATGATAAGACATGGCCTAGAAAACTAGCGAGAAAATTAGGAACTGAGAACATTTTATATTTGTGAAAAATTGTGGTTCAGTAGAGAAATCCCAGGCTTTTTAGAAAGATCAGGCAGAGACTCATTATAGCATGTGAAAGTTGTGTGGCCTGCTTAAACTAAGTTGCTTCTCTCTACTCTCAAGTATCTGAATGGCCATGAGGATCAATGATCATACTGAAATTTCTTTCTCATTTGTGTTTCCAGGAACATAGCAGAGAGTATCTGAGCATGGATGTAACTGTCACAGCCTAGGTGATTGGAAGTATATGGCAGAATATAATTGAATGGAAGAACTTTTATAGACAACGTGACATGTCTTTATTGATCCCAGGAATTCTGGAATTCATCATTTCCCTGGTGGGACTGGCAGGAAATGCTGTGGTACTCTGGCTTCTGGCTTTCCACATGCAAAGGAATTCTTTCTCCATCTACATCCTCAACTTGGCTGGAGCTGATTTTGTCTGTCTATGCACCCACATGGTAACCTCCATAATGGATTTGGTCGGATATGACAAACTATCCTCCTCCAACCTGTCACAAGTTTTTTTGGTAACATTTGTCTTTCCCTATGTTGCAAGCCTGAGCCTTCTCACTGCCATTAGCACTGAGCGCTGCCTGTGTGTCCTAAAGCCCATCTGGTATCGTTGCCACCGCCCAAAACACATGTCATCTGTCGTGTGTGCCCTGCTCTGGGCCCTGCCCCTGCTCCTGACCGTCCTGAATATGGGGTTCAGTGGTGTTCTCTTTGGAGAACTTAATATGTATTTGTATAGGCTAATAGATTTCATCATTGCCACATGGCTGATTTTCTCCTTTGTGCTTATGTTCGGGTCCAGTCTGGTGCTGCTGATCAGATTGCTTTGTGGCTCCCGGAAGATGAAACTGACGAGGCTCTATGTGACCATCGGGTTAAATGTGCTAGTATTCCTCCTCTGTGGCCTGCCCTGGGGAATCAATTATTTTCTCATAGTCTGGATGACAAATTTTTCTTTCAGGGAATTCTTTAAAGTGTACATCGTGACGAATGTATTAACCTCTGTCAACAGCTGTGCCAATCCCATCATTTACTTCTTTGTTGGTTCTTATAGGCAGCAGCAAAGACAGCAAAGAAAGACTCTAAAACTAATTCTGCAGAGAGCTCTGCAGGACATTCCTGAGGAGGATGGAAATCAAGGCAGCCCTCCTCAGGAGACCCTGGAGATGTCAGGAAATATTCATGTGGCCTAACTCAACAAAAATGTAGACTTAGTTTTCAGAAATTTTATCATTGTCTTTCAGATACTGCATTCTCACTTTTTAAAGCTGAATATTATAACTAAATAACCATTTATTTTCATGATCTATATAAACATATATATGTAGGTCAAAAGTCTATTTTTGTATAGTGTTCACACAGAATAAATTTGCTATTAACATTAATCTTTTAGTGTTTTCCAGACATGTTCGTTTTTCTCACATGTAATAATCAGAAGCTAAATATGGATAATATGGAAGAAGTTGCATGTGAAACTCGAGGAATGATTTCCAATGTGTTTTCTAGAGGGGTGGTTCAATATCTGTTTTATACATTTGCTGTGTGCTGTACATGATGTGAACTATTTCTCCATGAGTTGCTCTCTTGCACAAAAATACTAATACTTATAAATTAGTGCTCAAGTAAATAGAAACAACAAAAAACACCGAATCAGACCTCATCCATCTCAAACATTCCTGTACAGCTAAGAAAACATGGACTAAAACAAATAGAAACTAAATGAAAAGGAAAAAAATATGTGCATACAACATCAGATAAAAGTTTTCTATTTTATATTTTATGACTATTTCTTTTTTATATGTCATTATACATATTTATGCATGTAAAATATATGTGTATGCATAAGTATATATATTATATGTATACATTTATGTATTATACAGATTGATGCACATTTATAGGTGTTTAAACATATTTTAAATGACCCTTCTTGCTGATTCTGTCAAATTTCACTTCTGTCAAAAATGTGAGAGAATGTCTCAACCTACACTGTCACTACAGCTGACAAAGAAAAGTGGCTTGTATAAATAAATAAATAAATGTGGTTTGTATAAATAAATGAACAAAAGTGCAAGCATTTTTATTCTTAAGTGGAAAAAATATAGCACTGTAGCACCGTAGCACTGTCCTCCCATTGTACAAGGCAAAAGCCTTTTGATAGCACTGTGCTATAATTCCAGCCCCACCAATCACTGTCACTGTCCTCCCATTGTTCATTGATTTTCTCAAGCGGGCCCAGTAATATCTCCATTGTGAGACTTTGTTGTTAGTGTGTTTGGCGTATGGATACCTCATGGGTAGCTTGCCAGGCCCTCCGAGAGGGGCAGAGAAATCGAAGTCGGGTCGGCCATGTTGGCTGCTTGCAAGGCAAACGTCCTACCCACTGTGCTATCACTCCAGCCCACCACAAAAATATAATTGTGAAAAATTTAAATTAAAAATATAATCGTGAGCATACAGCTGCAGAGAAGAAGGACCACATGGAGGGCTGGCTCGACAGCTACCTGAGAAGACATAAGGTTCCAAAAGGAGCCGAGATTACTGGGAAGACCCAGATGGGGTAGGTGCTGCATCCCACCTCCCCCAGATGGAACCCTGGTGACCAGAAGCCTCTATAAGCATAGCTCAAGTATGCGGGAACTAGGACTTTTCCTCCAAACCGCGCGGCCGCTCACACGGATGTGCGACATCACTGTATATACAAATTTATCAATGGGAAGTAAATCACCCAACGTTTCTCCCTGAAAATCAGAGGTAAATTTGGAGCACGGCCACAGCCCCAGAAGCACAAGGACTTAATGCAGAACCCAGCAGCTTGGAGCAGAAAAGTGAACAGACTATGCGTTAATCCAGGCCATCATGTCTGCCCGGAGGGCAAAGGGTGTTGCCCCATTTGCCCTCTCCTCCCTGGAAAGAAAGATGGCGGCTGCATGGGAGCCTTGTGGAGAGCAGGTATGAGCCGGGGGTGTGGAGGCGACTAAAACCTCATGGGAAGGGGGGTGTTCCGGTCCGTCCTTCATGCCCTACCGAGGTCACCAGTTGCCCCCCACTAGCGGCTCTCCAGCACGGCCACGACTCCAGAGCACAGAAACCAATCTCTTAATTATCTGACTTTCAGTAGAAATACTTTCAGGGTTGATAAGTAAAATAGCGGAAATCCAAAACCAACATTTAATTCTTGAACCCAGCTATAGAAAGCAAATCACTTCACAATGCTTTTTCAGCATGTCTGATTTGGGGGGGCGGGTAAACTCTAAATAATAGTGGTGCATTTTTTATTGAAACACTGAATCTAATCAAAGCAGATAGAGTGTTAACTAGAATTCATCTGCGTGGCAGGCACTGGGAAGGGTGGGGGTGGGGTTTTATTGGGGTTCTTCGTGGTAAAAAATAAGTATTGGTAAAGGGAAATGTGTTTGATATTTGCATGACTGAGACCTAAACCTGAAAGCTTTGTAACTTTTCCCACAGTGATTCAATAAATAAATAAATCATTAAAAAAATATAATCGTGAAAAATTTAAATTACCAAGAACGTCATTGAAAACTGTGACATTAGACTGTCTCTTGTTGTCCATACTTGATTCATTTGCATATTATACAATTTTTGTTGAAATCATTATCATATAATTGACAACTAAACTTTATTACAACTCTTTAGAGTTCTAAATTTTCTGTCATATCCTAAAATCGTCTTTGGGAATAAAAATGATTCTCTGGTTCAAACAAATAAAAAATAAATATAAATGTTATTGAAATCAATAATCATAGAAAAAGAATTTAGATGCAAAAGTGAATAAAACTGCTCCTTCTGGAAATGATATCAGTAGATTTTATGAGCTTATATATTACTGCAGCATTTACAAGAAAAATAAGAATGAAAAGGACTTATTACATAATAGCACAAAATATAAAAGAGTCAAGTAGTGTTTGAGTCTCAGATAAGCAAAGTGTACTTTATTTACTAATCTTCACAGACTCAAATTGCATTGTTCTGTATGCTACCCAGGCACCAGGCTGTCATTGAGAGAATCCACAAGAACCACTAGCAGGGAAGTGTACCACTTATGGGTGGAGATACACAGACTGAGATGGAGGTTTAATCAGATCTAATGTTGAGACACATCCCCAGAGTGGTCATGACATTAAAGACATTGTGGTTTCATTGGACAGAAGGTCTTTGAAAAGAAAATCATAGATGTTCAACAGAAAAATGATAAGCTCCCTCTCACCAAATTCCACTCCTTCTGAGGAGTTTTCTTTGAGGACAGAGAAGGGTTCAAAACGAAGGTGAATCTCTATATACTATATTCTCAACAGGAAGTTAGCTTTCCACCTAGAGGTAGAATGCAAAGCAGGTAAGCTTATCAAGTTTATTTCCAATGCCACTGCTGGGTTTTTGCCCTAAGGTACATCCAAAAACCTCAAACTGGGAGCTACTTGCATGCAACAAGATTCTAGCTATTGTAAAGAGTGCCACAATGAATAAACAAGTGCAGATGTCACTTTGACTATACTTTTTTGCCTCTATGGGATATATTCCCAGAAGTGATATTGCTGGGAAAAATGGAAGCTCAAATTCTAATTTTTTGAGAATCGTCCATACTGTTCTCCAAAAGGGTTGGACCAGTCGGCATTGCCACCAGCAGTGAAGAAGAGTCCTTTTCTCGCCACATCCCCGCCAGCACCGGTTGCTTTTGTTCTTTTGTATGTGGCCAGTGTCTGTGGTGTGAAATGATATCTCATTGTGGTTTTGATCTGCATCTCCCTGATGATTAATGATATAGAGCATTTTCTCATGTGCCTTTTAGTCATTCGGATTTCTTCTTTGTGAAAGTTTCTGTTCAATTCCTCGCCCCATTTTTTGATAGGGTTGGGTGTTTTCTTCTTGTGGAGTTCAACCAGTAACTTGTATATCCTTGATATCAACCCCTTGTCCGGTGTGTATTCATCGAATATCCTTTTTCATTCTGTAGACTGTCTTTATATTTTGTCTTCAATGAACTTTATGGATTCCGGTCTGATGTTGAGGTCTTTGATCCATTTTGATCTTACTTTTGTACATGGCGTTAGGCAGAGATCTGAGCCCATTTTTTGCATGTAGTCTTCCAGTTTTGCCAGCACCATTTGTTAAAAAGGCTTTCCTTACTCCACTTTGCATTTCTTGCTCCTTTATCAAAGATTAGATGATCATATGTTTGAGGGGAGATGTCAGTGTCTTCATCCCTGTTCATTTGGTCTGCAGTTCTGCCTTTGTTCCAGTACCATGTTGTTTTAATTATTACTGCTTTGTAGTAGAGTTTGAGGTTCTGGAGGTTAATTCTTCTCATTTTCTTTTTCCCAAGAATTGCTTTTGGTATTCGTGGCGGATTATTGTTCCACATAAATTTCAGGAGTGTTTGCTCCATTTCTTTGAAGAATGTCATGGCTATCCTTATAAGGATCACATTGAATTAGTACAATGCTTTGGGAATTACTGCGATTTTGACAATGTTAATTCTCCCCATCCATGAGCAGAGGATATTTTTCCATTTCCTCGTGTCCTATTTTTTTTCTGAAGTAGCGTTTTTTAATTTTCTTTGTACAGGTCCTTTACTTCCTTAGTTAAGCTGATTCCTAGGTACTTGATTTTATGGAGCACAATTGTGAATGGGATTGTTTTCTTCATGTCACTTTCTTCTCTTTCACTATTTGCGTATAGGAAGGTTGTGGATTTTTGGGTATTGATTTTATAGCCTGCCACTTTACTATACAAGTCTATTGTATCTAGGAGATTTTTGGTAGAGGTTTTAGGGTTCTCTAAGTATAGTACCAGATAATCTGCGAATAGTGAGAGCTTGATTTCTTCCTTCTATACCTGGATGCCCTTAATATCTTTTTCTTGCTTAATCGCTGTTTCAAGTACTTCCAGTACTATATTGAAAAGTAGTTGTGATACAGGGCATCTTTGTCTTGTCCATGATGTTAGGCAGAAGGCTCTCAGTTTTAGGGAGAAAGTATTTCAAATGGCTGTCTTCACAATTTTTTCACTCTCATTTTTCTGAACGCATCAGAGTCAGAGGAAATGGGAATCACTCTGTGAGGCATAGAGATATTTCTACTGGATGTACAACAAATGAAGAAAATGCAAATGGATTTAGTGATAAAAGCAGAGAATTCTATCTTCGCTTTCTTGCTTTCAGAAAAGGAAGTTT